AAACAGAGCTTGACAGGTAGTAAGAATGACAGATTTACCTAATCATTCTGAGCCTCAATTTTCTCATCAGAAAAAATGGGCATATGTAGAACATTAGGTACAGTGTCTCATACCTGGCACACTCTCAGTAATTTTTATTATTATTATTATTTCTATTAATATTACTTCTCCTGTAAGTGGAAAATACTTTCTTCAGGTGAACTTGGTTGAAAAACAGAAAGCTTCCTGTGGATACTTCTGGTCTCTACTGACAATTTGGGGAGAAAAGGAGCTACTTCTGTGTGGCTGTGGACAGCTGCTTCCCTGTGCTTTGCCTTCTTTCCCCAGTGCTCTGAAAACCCTCTTCATGGCCCCACACACTCCAGTGCATGCCCATTTCTCTGGCAGATGAGCAAAGGAGGGGTGCATTAGTTTCCTAGGGCTTCCACGACAAAGTGCCACAAACTTGGTGTCTTAAGACAACAGAAATGTATTCTCTCACAGTTCTGGAGCAGAAGTCTGAAATCGAGGTGTCAGCAGGGCCACGCTCCCTCCAAAGGATCTAGAGAAGGACCCTTCCTGGCCTGTTCCAGCTCTGGTGGCTCCCTGCATTCCTCGGCTTTTGGCAGCATCACTCCAATTTCTGTTTCTGCCTCCACATGGACTTCTTTTTCTGTGTGTCTCTGCCCCGATCTCCCTCTGCCTTTCTCATTTAAGGGTTTAGGGTTCACCCTAAATTCTGGATCATTTTATCTGGAGATCCTTAACTTAATTACTTCTGCAAAGACTCTTTTTCTAAATGGGTTCACATTCCCAGGTACCAGGGGTTAGGACATGGTCACATCTTTTGGAGACAACCATTCACACCACTTTAATGGGTACAGGGCCCTAACTGGGTCTAACTAGGATGCATCCCTTTGTTTGGACCAACCTATACCTCCTTTTCCTTTTTATCTTTTCCCTGAACATTTGTTCCAGTCTTGTCTATCCTCCTTAGCTGGGGTCATGGCCAGAACAGCAAGTAACACATGACCAGCCAACTTGCTCCTTCCCGAGCTCCTCTATGTCCCATGTCTGCACTCACCTCCTGTCTCAGGATTCGCTGGGGCAGTATGTTGGACACTTGACCCTGTATTCATCTGAACTCTTGTTCTGCTTGGCCCTCCCAGTTACCTCATAGACAGACAGCAGAGTCAGATGTCACCCTGGGACCTGGCAGTGCCAGCCTGGACTGCCTGGCTCTTCACCAGGGTTGTCTTGGTCACACATCAGGTTTCATAGACAGAGCCAAGGAAAGAGACCCTGGTGAGCTGGAGCAAGTAGAGGCAATGGATCTGGGTCAGAGCAGCAACTATGTTTGCAGTTGGACCAGGCAAATAGGCTCAGAGAAGGAATCTGGGTCAAAGGCTTGGCAGACTGGCAGGAAATATGAGGCCTGATGCTCAAATTAAAAAGGAAACTAGCTTTCCATCTGCACAGGTTAGTTCTTGGTTCTCCTAAGTCTGATTGGGGTCGGTCTGTGACATGTGGCATATTATGGGTTGCAAAAGTCAACTAAATTTAGCATGTATTTATCAAAGATGTTCTATATGCCAGGATCTAGGGATACAGAGGTAAGAAAATCCTTGTCTTTGAGTAGATGAAAGTATTGCACGGGACACACACTTGTACATATGAAGAACTAATTGTCACAAAATATGGTAACTGTACATACACAGTATTATATGGAGCCCAAGGAGAGAATAGCTCATCCTGCCTTGGGTTAGGGAATGGGTTAGCATGGGTACAAACATGTAAAACAGAAACAAATTTTGCCCATAGCATACAGAACCTTGCACTCGCTGCCACCACGTGTATGAATGGGTAAGGAAAAGTAAAACAGCATAGCTGCAGCAAGACAACTGTCCAGTTTTGAACCCCAGCTCTGCAGCTAGCAGAAGAATCAGTGGTAAGTCAGAGACGTACAGTAATTTATCAATAAAAGCCATGTATGACAAACCCACAGCAATTTATTGTGTAACTTATCTCTAAGCAGTGTAATCATTTCAAGCTGAAAATCTCTCTTCCTGCTATAAGGTGGGAGACTTACTAAACTCCCAGTAGAAGGAGCAGCGGCTGCTGGCAAAGCTTCCTCCACCCAAGACAATATTCCTGGGCAGCTCTGGGAGAACTGGAAGCAAGTCTCTCCTCCAGCATGTGCATGGTCTCACAGATTAGCCAATGGCAACATAAATGGCCCATACTGTAGGGATAAAAGCAGTTGATGCAGACTCTGTACATTTAGGTTCAACTTTTGAGCAAATAAAACACAGAGAACCCTTTGTAGTCAACACAAGGACTGAGAAGTGGTGAGCTCTTCAAGGCTGGATGTGAGGCATGCATGAGGATCGTAAATGACACAGGATTGGGATGGCAACAAGTGAAGGTGACCTAGATAACAACGAAGGCAGAAACATTTCAGGTTACACCTCTGCGCATCATAAGGAAGAGAATGGACTAAAAATCACAGCACTGGCTACCTTGTACTGCACGTCTCTAATGCACAAGGTCTACACAAGGCACTGTACATAGCATGGGTGCAATCTGAGCACAGCACTGCCACTTGCCTCTTATGAGCTCTAGTTTGCAGATGATAATGAAGCCTCTGTAAGATGTAGTAAATGGCAGAGTTAGAACCCAGCTCTAACTAGTTAGTGTTCCCTGACATCCAGGCCCATTCTCTTTCCATACCCATCATGATGGTCACATAAGGTGGTTACAGCAGGAATTATTCATAGCTCATCATACCAAGTAAATAGAACAGACTTTGAATAGACTGAACACAGTTCACTTCTGAGTGTGGTTTTAACCTTCTCAAGTTATTTTAATTGTCTTTATAAAGTTCAAAGTAACCCTATCACGTAGGTCCGGCTAAGAGGGAGTGCTTCAAGCAGGGGAACGCAATTGACTTTTGTATTCAAGGTTCCGATGTCCAGAGTGGGCCAACTTTATTAAGAGTGCAGCCCCTTCGTTGGAAGGGGTGGGATATTTCTGCTCAACTTGCAGCACTTGGGGAGGCGTGGACTCTCCCTTTTGTATTCAAGGTTCCGATGTCCAGAGTGGGCCAACTTTATTAAGAGTGCAGCCCCTTCATTGGAAGGGGTGGGATATTTCTGCTCAACTTGCAGCACTTGGGGAGGCGTGGACTCTCCGCAGATGAGGTTGCTGCCTCATGGGGAGACAGTGTTATGGAAAAATGTGTTTACAATACCCTAGAGCGATGAAGGGGTTTGCTGTAATGCTTGGTGCCAACTGGCAAGGTCAGTGGGGACAACTGGGGAGAGTCCAGAAGGAAAAAAACCTGAGGAAGGAGTGAGTAGAACAGAAGAGGGAGCACTGAGTGGTGGCCACAGTGGCAGTTTTAAGTGCTGTTTGGCCCAGACACTCAACAGAGCACCCATGGGTAGAGCACAGATGGATCCTGGGTTGGAGTCCAGCACTTCCAGCAAGGCTCGCGCTTACTCTGACACCTCGGCCTTGAGATCCCATGACTGTAACTCACACCTGATATTTCCTCGGGTGGGTAGGAGAGAGGGGAAATCATGAGGTCAGGGGAGAAAAGTAGGATGACCGGCAGCAAGGCTCGCGCTTACTCTGACACCTCGGCCTTGAGATCCCATGACTGTAACTCACACCTGGTATTTCCTCGGGTGGGGAGGAGAGAGGGGAAATCATGAGGTCAGGGGAGAAAAGTAGGATGACCGGCGACCACTGTGACTGCAGCCTGGGGGAGAGGACCCTGCCTGCCTGGCCCTGGACTCCCTCTCTAACTCATGCCGTCGCTGTCACAGGGCCTCTGACTCATTCAGCCTGAAAACCCAGGAATCAACTTTGACACCTCCAATTCCTTTGCACGTCACACGTGGTCCTCAACACTAAGGGATTTTAGCCCCTGAGTCTTGTTAGACCTGATACCCTGCTCCATCCCACGGCCAGTGACTTGGGTCATGCCCCGTCCTCTGTCCTCTCTTATTGGGACCAGCAAGGGCCTCCCAGCTGGTCTTCCTGCCTCCAGTCTACTCACTGCAGTCCATTCTCTGAGCTACTGCCTAGTGATCTTCCTGAGGAATAAACCAGCCTTGTCACTGCTCTGCTTCCTATTGCCAGAGCAGTGATTCTCAGCTGGAGGCTCCCCTGAGCTCCAAGAATCCAGGGGCAAAATTGCACATTTATGCCACGTGGCAGAGGTGGTCAGTGACTAACAGATATTCCACGTGCATCCCCATGTGTTCTGGCCTCCCTTGCAGTCAGGTTGGGGCATGTGACTGCAGCAGTTTTGTCAACTCACTGTGGTCACACACCATAACTCATGCTTATTTGTGGCTCATGGAGGTTGGATGACTTTTTTGAAAGGAGAAACAAGTTAGTTATTTCAAATTAATTGCATTATTTGGGGGGATTAAAAAGAACTCAATGAAGATATGTGATCCGTAGGAAAGAAAGTACAAAAAAGGAGTTCTTAAGAGTGAATATGGGGGACCACTGGCCTGCAGGGTAATGTCCAGACATGAAGTTCATGTCAAAGCAGCAGAGACTCAAAAGCCTCTCTGGTTTTGCTGGCAATGGCTTCTTGTTGCCCTGTGCTTTGCCAACCTGGACCTCGACTCATTATTCCCCAATCACTTTGCATTTCCATGTGGCCTTGTCCTTGCAAACACTAGTCCCTTGTCCCCAGCCTATCTCAGTCCCCCTCACCCTGCAAGACCCAACGGAAATGTCACCTTCCCTGTTGAGCTCCCATCTCCCTCAGCCATGATCTCAGTCACAGCACCTCTGTCAAATATCAGTCTTTAATCTATGCATCTCTGACTGTTCATTAAAACACGAACTCTCCCACATAGGTAGTGTTTCCTTCCCATCTCTGTGTCCCTAGGACAGTGCCTGGCACACGGGAGGTGTTCACCAACTGTCGCCTTCTTGGGGGTGCCCTTCTAGGCTCCTGGGATGGGCTGGCTGCATGTGGCAATGGATACACTATTTACCTAAGCGGCCCCCTTGCTGCTCCTCCAGCATGCCCAGCTGCTGTCCCTGCAGAGCCCTCACTTTTGCAGGCACCTCTGCCTGGAATGCTCCCTCCACATCTCGCACGGCTCTCTCCCTCACATCAGTCAGAGGGACACTTCCTCTGGTCATTCTCCCTCTCTCTCCTCACTCTGCTTTACATCTTCATAGCACTCATCATCTGGCACATTTTATTTCACATTTACAATTTATTGTGTTTATTGTGTCTTCCCCTAGTAGACTATAAGCTCTGTGAGGTCAGGGACTTTCTCGTGTTCACTGCGCAAGACCAGTTCCTGACACATTAGTCAGTGCTTAAAAAATGTTTTTGAATGAAAAATAATAAAATTATTATACTTTAAGAAATCGAATCTGAAACCTAGCCTTCTACTCTCAAGCGCTGTCTTCTTAAAGCCATCAAACTTTAGAGTGAGAAAGGAATTTAGAGGGTTTACTTTAGCCAAGTGCTGTCACCTCTCCCCCAGGGTGATGGAGATGCAAAGAGGATTACTCAAAGCCCATCTCTTCTGAGCAGTGAGAAGCCCCGAAGGGGTTAATTTCCATGAACCCTCAAGAGAGAGGCATTCCTTGGAAAATTAACACTGAACTGGGGTCTTCTTTCAGTATTTATTCTCCAGGCAAGAAAGTTACAGAAAAAGAACATAGGTGGTTACAAAAAGAACAGTAAGATAATTGTCATGGCAACAGTCATTTGGCTTAGTTGCACCAAGGACATCTGCCCTTGGAGCCAGCAATTTTGCTGTGTTACAATTGTTTACCTACAACAGAGACTTTAGCCTGGGGAAAGCTTCCTGTCTTTTGCAAGCTTAACATTTCTATGTGTAATTTTAAAAAGTTAGGCTATACCTGAAACTACAGGGCTTTGGAAGCTAGGGCCTGTGAAATAACATTTGCTTTATAAATGTTAGTACACTCCACAAAGTATTCTCTTTCAAACAAAGTGAAGACAGAGGTCTCAGATGATGGAATACCTCACCTGTGCAGAACTGGACCCTGTGCAGAGCCAAAATCTGCATCTGACTCCTGGGTCTTGACTCCTAGCACAGTGCCTTGCATGCCGTGAGCATTCAGTTAATCAATGAGTGTTAACTTGAATTAAAACTAGAAAAGGCTAAGCAGAGTTTGGTGTCTGTGTGCACAGCTTTCTGCCCTGAAATAAACTGAGCTCAAAGGACACGGGCCTCTAGAGAGTTACTTGAGAAGGCAGAAGTGTAACAGCTGTAGACCCAAGTTCTCACCCAGATGCACTGACCCTGTCAGGCTGAGCTGGACCAATTAACCTCACTACTACCTGATCCTCTGGACTGGATATCCCCCAAATCTGCAGGCACATCTGGCACTGTTTGCTGGTCAATGAGTGAGAAAAAAAGCCACACTCAGTTTCTCCCACTATTCTCTCACAACATGACACCACACACCAGCAAGGAAGAAAGCAATCAATTCCACAGCAGACACCAGCTGGGTGTCCTCCAATTCAATTCCAACACTGTCTACCTGGAGATAGTGCCATATCCCACAGAATGAGGGCTTAGTCCCCAAGACTGCGCCCATGCCACTTCGGGTACCAAGTGCAAGCCCTGTGCTTCTGACCCATGGGCTATAAATCAGAGTTCCCATGACCCCCTCCTTGGGTTCAATTAATTTTCTAGAGCAGCTCACAGAACTCAGGAAAACACTTACTTTACCGGTTTATTATAAAGGATGTTAGCAAGGATACAGATAAAGAGACACATAGGGCGAGGTATGGGGGAAAGGGTGTGGAGCTTCCATGCTCTCCCTGGACACGCCACCCTCCAGGAACCTCCACATGTTCAGCTGTCCAAAAGCTCCCCAAACCCTGTGCTCTTGAGCTTTTATGATAGCTTCATGACATAGGCATGACAGAAGCATGGACAACCATGTAGAAATGTGATTGGACAAAAAGGGCACGATCTAACAGTAACATACGGTAGGGAAACCCAGCAAGGCCTGTCTGTTCAGATTCTCCTTGGCCACTCTGTGCAGCGTTCCTTCCTCCCAGGCATGGGGCAGGACCCCTTCTGAATTTCTTTATGGCCAGCGCAGGGGAAGATTAGAGTTCTATCCTGGGGAGCCAGGAAGCATGATGATCACAGCTGCCAAAGGATGCTAAGGGTCAAAAAAGAAGAGAATCTCTTTTTTGGCTGGGAGCACTGACCAGGCAACTGCTAGGGAAAAACAAGAAATACAATGGCAGCTCAGTGTGGTGGGCAGTGATTGAGGGGCCCAGGAACTAAAGCTTTTCCCTCTCGACTTTGCACACGGGGACAGTTACTGAAATTGTAGACTTTCACTTGTAAAATAAATCCTGTAGTTAGGAATAATCAGGGTCTCATCACGAAGTTCTTGGCATATATTCCAGGACTATAAGCTCTAAATTATGTACAGTAGTGGTGCAAATTGCCAACAAACTGTGCCTTCCACAATGGGGGGAAACATGATGAAACCCTGGCTTGGTGGATCACAACACAACTGCTCACAGTGCTGGCTCATCTCTCCTTTAGATGGAATAGTGTCACCTTTTCTATATGCTCTATGCACATTTCAGTTTCTGCCCTCAGACTGTCAGGAATACAGAGAGCTCTTTGGCTAAACAGCTAGCATTAAACAAATCAGAAGATTTCAAAGCCTGATGTTCACATGTCCAATACAGACCCAGTACCACCACCCTCCTCTCCTGCAGCCACAGCAGAAACCATCCATGATCAGAGGGTCCAAACCTTGAGCCTTGGACCCCACCTCACAACCCTTCCCTGTCCAGAGAGCCTCTGACAGTCAATGGGGGCTGGCACTTAAAATGAAATTATTTGCCGTCCTAGGTTTTAGTTGTATAAAGCCAGGACTAAAATGTGTACACTGCCCTGAATCTTGTATCTATATTGCTGGGTCATGTATTATGAGTGACATATGGTTGCCTGTCTTGCAGGATTTGCTTTTTTTCTTTTTTCCCTTTCTCTTTTTCAAACAAAGCCAATCGATGGCACAGTCTCCTTAAGCTGTGTTCTAAATGTGCATGGCTATGCAAGATGCAATGTTCTGGCGAGTCACTAGGTGGCATCTAATTGAGACACTCAGTGAGCTATCCCAGAAAACACGCTTTTTAGAGCACACCACAGTTCTCCATTTTGGCTGCCATTGTGTGGTGGGCATGTTGGAGTTAATCCATTGCCATCTGTCTTTATTTTGCTAACGTACTCAGTCGGACGCCACACAATTGAGTTCTGCAAATGTCGGCTCTCCAGTATAGCAATTACTGAGCCTCTTTCTAAACAATATCACCGCACAGCATTCTTCCTGCCTTGCATAGAGCTTGAAACATTTAGGCTCATTTTGACTTGCTTTGCGTATAGGGCTTGTCATCTTCAAAGATTAAGAAAAATTGGTCTGAACTCAAAGCCATAACAAGGCATGGCTTCTCTTTCCAAACTGAGAACATGCCAATCAACATGTTCCCATTACATAAAAACTCCAGGCAGCACAGCAGAGAACGTGGGCTGTGCTGTGCTGCCCACAGAGGCCCCACCACCTCCTCCAGGATGCAGACACTCTGAGTGCATTTTGTGGTTGTCAGTGATGTTGCTATTTTAATATTTGAAGGACTGGTGGGAGGGGACCACAGAGGCCCCACCACCTCCTCCAGGATGCAGACACTCTGAGTGCATTTTGTGGTTGTCAATGATGTTGCTATTTTAATATTTGAAGGACTGGTGGGAGGGGTGGGGAGTGAGGCATGTGACAGCAATCGGAGAAGCAAAAAGAAAGGAAGGAGGAGGGGGGAGCGAGGATGAGCTATTATTTAAATGGCCTGCCTTCCATTGCTGCTCCAGAAGTGGGATGAGTTAATCATCTCAATGGCCTGGAAAGGGTCTTGTTCTCGTTTGCTCATTCATTATCCATTTATTCACTCACTATGTATTGAAGACCTGCTCTCCTGTCACCTACTGCATGAGATGCTCCAGACACAGGTGAGATCAACTCACCAAATGTCATTGCCCTGTTGGAACTTAACAGTTTGTGGGGGGACAGATATCGATTGAGGAAACACAAGTGCTATGGCTGTTGTGAAAGAGACAAACGGAGTCTTGCACAAGCACATGATGGACACCTTCACTGTGCTGGGAAGGAACAGGTCTCCGAGGTAGGTGAAGGTGGAAGGGGTTTTAGAGTTTCGTTCTTCTCTGTTGTACTCCCACATGCTACAAATTCTGCTTTGCAATTAGCAGATACTAAATTAGTATTTGGTGATCAACTAGCAGGTTTTTATTGGCATGGAGTGAGGAAGATCTAGCAGGAGAACCACCGTGAGAACACAGCCCAGTCCCTGATGAAAAGCCAAGAGCTTCTGTCACAGGAGCGTGGATTTCGGCTTTTCCCTGCTCTGTTCGTAAGCCTCTTTGTGATAACTTCTTTTCCCTACAACCTCCTTCCTCCCTAATCAATTTTGCCCTACTTCCCTGCCAAAATTATATTAAGATCTCCATCCATCTGTTATTCTTATTAAAGTCCATTTTGTTCAAAGTTTTAAAGCACAGATAAACCAAAAGCGGTTAAACATTAATGTATTTGTTTACATTGCTATCTGGAATTCTTCAGATTCAAGTCACTGTTTACGTTTTAGAATCTATGAGGCAATTTGGGGAGCAAAGAAGAGGAGGCAAGAAAAAGGGGAACCTTCTACAGTGTTTCTTTGTCTTCTCCATTGTGCTACTGTGCTTTCAGATGTAACTTCTATCTTCAGGGTTTCAGCTATAAAGCAGAGGGACCCCAGATCCTGATGCATTGGTGTAAAATTCAAGCAAAGGCAGACCTACTAATCTGTAGTTTGGGGGAAATGTAAGCTCCCTGATTTTTCTTATAGGTCTTGCGTGGATATTGTAGAGGCTTAATGTGGTCTCACTACTTACCAGTGCATTTGTGAGCGACCCAGTCTCACAGGACTTTATCTTGACAGCCAAGTATATTTGTCATTAAATATTTGAGGTCTGAGTACTTTAAGGTCATCTCCTGGGAGAACTGCACCACCAGGTAGCTTGAAGACAAATCCTGGCTATAATAGTAACAGCAGGAGACTTTGTCTTACCAAGTTCCTCCCC